GCGATAATGCGTTCGCTATAATACATTCGCGATAATGCATTTGCGGTAAAGCATTCGCTATAATATCTTATATAGAAACCTTCAATTTACGGTTTTGGTTTTTTAGGAAGGACAAAATTATGGTGCTTCTATTAAATCAAAAATATTGGTTTCTCTATAAATATGTGGTACCCCAAATAGAGATCAGCACTTTTTGACACTCAATATATTAAAGCCATCGCATATATCTAAATGTTAGAGACTAATGAATTCTTAGTTATCTATATTAAAAAGATTTATGAATAAAATTTGTATAATAAAATAGAAAGAAAATTATATTTAGAAACGTGTTCCGAAACGCAGAACGAACGGGAATTTGACATATTTTTTACCCAAACAACTGGTTAAAACCTTTTCTTAATTAAAAACAAGATTCTCGTCCGTCATATTATATCCATAAGGGTAGAGTTAAGAACCCTTCTATAGGCTAATTTAGGTAGCTGACATATAATGCAATATATAAAAATTTTAAAAATGGTTGGTTCAGTTTAGATTCTCTTTAATAACGGTTAATACATATTTAACAAATCGTTTCAGGTTTGGTTTAGCTGAGTTAATAATCATAAACCTTGATATGATTTTACAAAAAAACCATTGTTGAAACAAATAAAGTCATCGAAAAAATACAACAAATAAACTGAATTGTATTATTAAAATGTTAATTTTGATATATTTTTCAAATCCCGCATAAATTTTTTGAACTCTATAATTGTCCCATATATAATATTCTCTATAAAATCAAGATCTAGAAAATAATTTTCTATAAAATAATTCTCTACAATGTAATTCTCTACAAAATAATTCTCTACAATGTAATTCTCTACAAAATAATTCTCTATAAAAGTAATTCTCTTTAAAATCATTCTCTATAAACAACATTCTCTATAAAATCATTCTCTTTGAAGTCATTCTCTATTAAGGACCTTCTCTATAAAATAATTCTCTTTAAAATCATTCTCTATAATCGACATTCTCTATAAAACCATTCTCTATAAACTACATTCTCTATAAAATCATTCTCTATAAATTAATTCTCTATAAAAATTATTCTCTATATAAAACATTCTCTATAAAACATTCTCTATAAAACATTCTCTATAAACTACATTCTCTAAAAAACAATTCTCTATAAATGCATTCTCTGTAATTTCTCTATAAATGTTTCTCTATAAAATACATTCTCTATAATGGTTTCTCTATAAAGACGTGGAACCCAATTTTTTTTACTAATTCTTTGAAATAATTTGCGGTTTTTAAAAATTAATATTTTTAATTAAATTAATATTTGCTTATGATTTTATATATTAAGTAAGTATAAATATATTGTAATTACTTGATAAAGAAGTAAATAAGAAATATAAATTTTTTAAGGTATTTTTAATTGAGAAAGCATTTGAGGGGATAGGCTAACATCTTCAACGTAATTTTGATTATAATTAAATCATTGAAATCAGAATATAATTCTCTATCTAAAACCGCTTAGATGTATTTTTTACGTTTCCGGTTCAAAAAATAATATTTTTGTCGCGAAAGCATTTTATAGGGGAAAGGCTAACATCTTAAACGTAATTTTGAATATTATTATATCATTGAACTCAGAATATAATTCTCTATCCAAAACCGCTTGGATGTATTTTTTTACGTTTTCGGTTCAAAAAATAATATTTTTGTCGCGAAAGCATTTTATAGGGGAAAGGCTAACATCTTAAACGTAATTTTAAATATAATTTTATCATTAAACTAAGAATTTAATTCTCTATCCAAAACCGCTTAGATGCATTTTTTTACGTTTCCGGTTCAAAAAATTATTTTTTTGTCGTGAAAGCATTTTATAGGGGAAAGTTCTCTCTTTTATATTCTATTGAAATTGTACATTTCATTTCTTTTATTATTAAAAAAGTATGAAATGGCATGATATATATATATATATAAGGGTTTAAGAAGAATACTTTACAAACTCTTATTTTGGTATTGTCGATTTTTATTTCATTCATTTAATTATTTATTAAGTCTTTTCTACATAATTTATCATATATAAAACTACATTCATATCTTTTCTTAAATATAAAAATTTGTTCTAAATATATATATAAATTTGTATCATGATGTTACAAGAGGTTATAACATAAACGTGTTAAATTGATTTAAAATCAAAAATAGTTAATGTAAATTATTTGAAAGATAAAAATTAATTTAAGGTAAAATAAAAAAATAGTTTAACTTAAAATTTTAAGTAAAAAATAAGAATACGATTTCAGTTACGCCAATTGCCTTAGGGAATAATATAATAAAATTGGAAAAAATAAATAGTAAATTGCTATAGGAAGTTGTGATTGTGATAAAACAGATTCACAAAAAGTATCAAAATTATATAAGAAATATTTATAAGTAAAATTTTAAGGAATTATTGATTTTGGCCCTGTTCTTTTTTTCACACCTAATTACATTTAAATGAAAAATTTACTCTTTTTCTTGGGTAATAGCAAAAATCTTTGTGTATTGTTTTTCTATTATATTCATGAAAATTTATACCTGCAGGTATTGCATTTTTTAACTCTACAGCCTTCTGTTAAAATATGATTCACCTGATTGGCATATATTTTTCTGAATATTCAATCTCCAGTTATCAGAATTTATTTTACTGCTTAGTGTTCTAAATAAGTTAGTAATTAAACAAGGGAATAACTTAATTATTCCCTATAAATTCATTATTTAAAGTTAGTGTTAATATTATAATTTACCTTAGGTACAATGTTAAAATAAATATAATAATTTATTCATAAAATTTAAATACATAGCTTCCCATCCAAAATAAGGAAATGTCCCAATCAAAAAAGGAAAAGCGTTGATCATAAAAGGAAAAATTCGAAAGTAGGAAAAGTGTCAATCAAAAAAGGAATAGCTATTTCTTTAAAAAAATTAGTTTTACTCGTCAATTTTTAGTTTTTTTTAACTTTTCTTTCTTATTTTATTTCCAACTTTTTACAGCTCTTTAAGTGATTTTTAATCTTTATTTTTCTTATCTTTCATCAATTTTTTTCTTCTATTTTTATCATTCATTTTCTTCTTTTTAAAAATAATTTTTTTCCGTCATATTTATCTATTTCTCTATTTTTATGACTATTTCCATCCTACATAACAATTTTTTGATTTTTTTCACCTTTAGCAATTAAATTTTTTAAATATATTTTGCATATCCAATTATTTCATTACAATTACGATGTTTATATAGGTATTATATAGTAAAAACGAAAAATTTATATTAATTATTGATAATTTGCCCACTTCTACATTTTGGAATATAGGTCTCCATATATCTAAAATAATTCTTTGCATACTCCTCAGTTCGATGTTCTATAAAACGAATTAATTTTTCCTAGTCGTTAAAACTTTGATTTCTTACAAAATCCTTCAATTGGAAAAACGCATTTTCAATGATTTTATAAAGAGGGAATGGTGGTAAATATTTTATTGTATGCCCTCTTCTTTCCATCGATTCTCTAATTGTATGGTTATGATGAAATGAAACATTATCCATCACAAAAATCATATTGCTTTCTTTAAAATGATTTAGAATTCAATTTACAAAGTTGATAAAGTGGAAGCGCTGCAGAGGCCATCAAGTATCTCGAATCTGAATATTCTAGCAATCGTGAGAGCAGTGTATTTATCCCTTGAATATTTTTAATAGCCTATTTATTTATTTTAACCTTGATATAGTATTTTTAGATATTTCTTTTATAGATCTGCAAATCACGGCCCAGTCCCTACCTCTATGTCTAAAAAATAATTTTTGTTCAGGTTGGGTCGGGCCTAATATTTTTTAAACATTTTTGGGCCGGACCGAGTTGGGCTAAATTTTTAAATATGTTATATTTTTTTCAAATAAATTGATAGATTTTAAAATTCTAAACAAGGCGCCAATATTTTTTATTTGTAGAGTATATTTATTTTTACAATCATAAACAAATTAAATTTTTCTATATTTAGATAATTTCGGGCAGGGCTGGACTTGAAAAATTAGGCCCTATGCAGATCACTAATTTCTACATCATATCTTTCTTTAATCATTTCACATAACCTTTTAGACAAAGTGCAATCCAAATTTATAAGTGGCATAATATAAAAACTATAAAATAAATGCGAATTATAAAATATTAAACGAATATAAATGGTTATAAAATAAATGCAAATTATAACATATTAAATGTATATAAGCAGCATATAAATCATATAAATGACCCAAAATAAAAATTTTATACTCTTCCTGTTCTTGATTTAATTTCTTAGGTGCACGTGAGCCTCCTTTGGGTAAACTATATATTATTCCATTTTTGAGATGGGAGTATTTTATATTTGTCACAGTTTTATAGCTTACTTTAAACATTTTGTCATATTTATGATAATATCCTTTTTTAAAGCGATGTTTTTACCTTGTTATACTCATATCTTCATAATTTTTTAAAACAAAAAAAATATTTTTTAAAAGATAAACTCATTAAATAGAATGAATGACAAAAAATTGAAACTCTTTAAATTATTTACATCATTTTTTCCGTTTAATTTATCTGAGAAAAGATAAGAAAAATAAAGATTAAAAATGGCAAAAAGTTAGAAATAAAATAATGAAAAATTAAAAAAAATTAAAATTAAGGGATCATACAAGTAAATTTTTTTTATCTATTTGAATAAAATATATGATTTCCGAAATTTAGTTAGCCAAAATTGGAGTAAAAATTGTCATTAGGAATTAATTATTTTAGCCCAAAAATGTAATATTTTTTTTTATTAACACATATTTATTTGACAAATAACCAAATCAGTTATGATGACGCATATTAATATCTTTTTTTTTAACTTAGTTGATTAATATGACAATAAACGATAAAAATATTTTTTTTTTAAATAATAATCATTAAGTAATTAATTATAATATTTTTTAAAGCCAATTCTTTTTTGAAATAAAATATGCGATAGGAATATGTTGGACTTGGATTATATATCATGTTTAAAAAAGTTGTGATAATTCCAAATATTAAGTGGTTGCATGACAAAATTATACATTTCAAAATATCATACGTAAAGTAAATTCACATTTTTCTTTAAACAGGTGATTTTACCTTATTATATAAAATATATTCACAATTATTTTAATTTTATTTTAGGCGCATGTTTTGTGGATTATAGGTAGTTATAAATTTACAAAAAAAGTTCCAGAAGAGTTGATGGTTTAGCCTTTTCAAATTTGTCCCATAAATCCTTCAAACAATCAATCAATCAGCAGTTCAAAATGAACGGCCCCTTTAAGCTTGACCTCCTCATTGGGTTTGTCATGTTGTATATTTCCGGCGAAAGCCTTGCATACTACGTTAATGAGGACACCCCTCTCTGGTTGGTTAAATTGAACCATAACAAAGGGAGTTTGGTAACCTCGCTGATTGAGGTAAGGGAAATATTTTTCAGGGATACCATCCTTAGGGTAGTAGGAAAGCTCACCTATGTTCTCCTTATCAGCTGCCGTCTTGTAATGTTAAAAATGATTTTAAGTAAGAAATTTGAATTATTAAAGTATATATACATTTGATTAAACTAATTATAAAAAAAATATCTTTAACATTCGTACAAATAATTTTTATACTTCTCCGAAACATCGAATGACCACGTTTCTACCCCTATATTTACCTCCCACCTCGATGGGAATCTTATCGTCATCGTAAGGCCGGGGTTTCCATCCATATATCTAAATTGCAGGAAATGTCAAATAAAAATAAATTATGAAAATGTGGCAATATTTGAATAAATTCATTTAAGTTATAGATAGGTGCATTTAAAAGAGTAATATTTTCGTTAAATTATATTTCGTTATTTATGATTTTTTTTATCTTAATTAATTTCTAATATTTATTGACTGTTAAATATCTGCAATTATTATTAAATACTTTCGAAAACAGACATGGTGTACTTAAATGACTAATGAGCTAATCTCAAAAACTAAAAGAAACCACGTCCCAGATCAACTATATAAATACTAATGTCTATTATAATATGGCTTTTGGAAAAAAAAATATTACTCATCATAACATCCTCTCTTAATATGAAAATAATGAAAAATGACATCGATGATTACAGTAAGCTTTGGCGTTTAAACAGATGTAGTATAAATATAAGAATATCAATGTCATTCCACTTGGTATCAAGCACTATCACATCATTTCCTCCAGTTGCCAATTAGTATATAATTATTTTATGAATACTGATAACTTTACCACTTTTCCAAATATAAGATAGCTTTTCATGTTAAAAAGTATCCCATCTCGCGACATAACTGCTTGCCTTTACAATTAAGTTTCTCCAGGATATAAACTCATGCTAACGGTACATTCACGAGTCGGTAGACGAGGGGGGGGGGGTAGAGTAAGCAATGTCTTCGCCTATTTAAAATAATTTAGATTGCCAGCGTCAGAATTGGAAAAAAATAGATGGCATTTTAGCATTTATTGTTATTTTTATCAAGAAATAAACATTATAAAATGTTTTATAAACAAAATGGTAGCATATTAATATAATTTGCATTTTTAAATCAAAAACTACCACCCCCCTATTTAATAGATTTTTTAAAAAAATATCCAACACTATACCAAACGATTGTACCCTGACATTGTTTAAATCACCAGAATTAGCAGTATTCGATGCAATAACAAGTGCTACAATCGTTAATCACTATAAGGCCTTTAGATACAATATATAGTTTATATCTTCTACGCATAAAATAATTTGAATCATAATAAAGTACACCTGAAAAAATGACTTTCGCCGAAACCAAAGAATCTATACAATCACTGAAAAATGATGGTAGCCTCAGCAGTGACCGAGGGGTTTGGAGGTTACCAACACAGGCTCTTCAAGGAAAAAATATTTACAAAGATCCTGAGGAACAGCTGGCATTTTGGGTAGACCACTACATGCATTTTTTCCAATCCAAAATCCCATCCATGATAGTGGATACAGACCAGTTAGGTTCCCCATCATCATCAAACTTTTCACTGGCGAAGATAAAGAAAGCTATAAGTGAGCTTAAAAACCTCAAGGCCCCAAACCTGGCATAAGGAGAGAACATATGAAGGCCTCGTCAGACAAAATTTCTAAATACCTGTTTGCCATATTCACCAAAATATGGGATTCATGCAGGACCCCGGACAAATGGAAAAAGTCGGTCCTATATCACTTCCCCAAAAAGTCATACCCTACAACCTTAGACGATTATAGAGCAATCGCCCTCCATAGTCTCCAAAGTATTCGTCGTACTTTAAGGGTGGATTCTTATCTCCACTAAAGACATCTAACCAACAACATCTGCGTTTACAGACCTTGTAAAACATTCAGGAGCCGATTTTATCATAAAAAATTTACCTACAAAAATGCTGTAGGTAGAAACTACCTGTTGTAATTGTGGTAACATGCAAATTTACTAGATTAAGAAAAACGCCAGACAGGCAAATTACTTTTAAACAAAATTACGAAGCCGAAAGATATTCAAATCTACTCAAGAAAAAAGAATTAAATCTCGGTACAAATTGAGACTATGAAAATGTTGATTAAAGAAAAAGGATATATAATGGAGAAATTATGATGCGAAAAAGGATGATTAAATTATTATTTTTAACTTAAATTTACTTTTTTATATTAATTTTTATTTTTCTTTTATTTTGATTATGTTTTTCACCTGTATTTAATTATATTAATTATTATTTAATAAAGGATTCAACTATAATTTTAGTATATATTTCTTTTTATATTTCGGTTTTGATTCACAATGACAAATCCTTCAATTGTGACAATGGTGTTGGAGAGAGGAGGCGACAGGGCCATTACAACTTTCAGTCTAATGCAAATCAATATATACGGTGGGACAAGGAGATGTGTCAAACTGTTATCTAATACAAAAAAAAAATTCCAGAAGAACGTAAGAAAAATATGTAAATAAAAGTGAAAAAGAAAGATTATTTTGATAAGATTATGTTTATATAGAATATAAAATCTAAAAGTAAAAACAAAGAATTATAAAGGTAGCATTCATAGTAGATAAGATATAAAGAAGTTTGTTAATTATTTAAAGGTGATAATTAGGAATTTTATATTTAGAAGTTACTGGTAAACTAAAAACCATTTGAATTTTGAAACTTATAGAGACTGATATTTTAGATTTTAAAATTATTATTAATTGATCACTAGAAATAACTATGACAAAGAAAAAGAAATTGCGAAAGTTAATATTAAACTAATAGTTTGCTAAGATATAATAATTTAAACATTTGGCGAATAAGATTAGAATATAAATTTATTGTTAGGGAATAGTTGTTGTTGTAATTAAATTCTTATTGAAGATTTACGTTTAACTTTTATTTTAAGGGCTGCGAGAGATAAAACAGCCTCAAGGATTAATGTGAATGTAGTATATTAGGTTGTAGATTAACCAAAAATCTTCATAAAGAGAAACGGCTTTCGTCATTAGAAAATTTATGCCGCAATCGAGCTCAATTAGAGATCGGATTTTTATTTTTTTGATTCATAAATAAGATTTGAGATCAATTATGCAACATTATTCTAATAATAGCAGAAAGAAATGCTTTAGAAAATATATATCCTTGTTTTTCAACAACATGTGTTGAAAACTTTAATGATTAGATTTCATTTATTGTTCAAAAACGTGGGTGTGAAAACCATAGTACAGTGGTTGTTCAACAAAGTAGGTGTGAAAACCATGATGATAGAGTTCAGTGGTTGTTCAACAAACATATATATGAAAAATATAATGATTAGACTTCATTAGTTTTTCAACAACGTGTGTGCGAAAAGAGATTATATATTTCAGCAGTTTTTTATTAAAGGATATAAACAATATAGAGAAGAAAATAAATAAAAGACTTGAGCGCCAAATAAAGTAGGAGGAAATAAAGTTGCAATTTTTTTTAAAAAAAGAAAAAGATATATTTATATTTTGGAAAAATTTTTAGAATTTTTTTTAGATTCAAGACTATCAAGAGAAATTTAGATTTAAAGGACTACTACCACAAATGACTCAATGAAGATATGGGTCTGAACTTCATTGAGGGTAAAGGGGTTGTAGAAGTTAATATAAATATATAATTATTTAGCATATTTTGACTATATTATTATTTTAAGATCTAATTTAGAGGAAAAAGTGAGCAAATATTTCGAAGTTAAGAAATTGATTATGTAAGGAAGAATTAGATTAGAGGTGATAACCTTAAGAAGGAGTGAACAGATGATATATTCTAGGTAGTTCAAATTTAAGAATAAATGTGTAAGAAAAAGGGATAAATTATTTCAGAAGTTATAAAGGGTTAGATTATTTTAGGTCGAAGTAGATTAGATGCGATCTGAAGCGGTGAGACCAAGATCAAGTGAGAATAAAGACAAAGTCGATATCTAGGAACTGTCGTAAGATCTATACCGTCACAAGAATTAGATGCCTAGAACTTCAAAGACAAGCGACTAGATAGAACAAAGGGTCAAGACGTTCGAGCTGCAGTCGTTAATCGCTGACCAATATAGCCAAGTGTCGACGGAAACTTTAGTCTTAGATACGAAAGTTGATGATCATAGAGAAAGGAATTCGTGGAAACAATCGTTACTCGCAGACAAATTATCGTCAGTCGTTTACCGTCATTAGTTACCAGAAACCGTTAGAAACAAGCAAAGACTAGGATAATTTGGGATTAAAACGAAATATAATTAAAAGAGCTAGAAGAATGTGTCGGGAATCATGATAACAGAAGTATCGAGTTCGTCAATGGCCTATAGAGATCAAGAGATAATCGTTTACAAGGAGTTGACAAGAAACAGAAGGAATCAAGAATTTCAGATTGTAATCGGATACAAACAGTCCTTAGAAGTGAAGAATATTAGACGTCGTTAGAAACTAGAAGACATTAAAGATTAAAACAAATAGATTCGGTGGAGAAACAAGATCAGTAAAGTCAAAATCGGAAGAAAGGAGATCATTCGCAGAATGGTGGGACTAATCTAAGTGGAAAGGTGTTGTAATTGTGGTAACATGCAAATTTACTAGATTAAGAAAAATGCCAGACAGGCAATTACTTTTAAACAAAATTACGAAGCCGAAAGATATTCAAATCTACTCAAGAAAAAAGAATTAAATCTCGGTACAAATTGAGACTATGCAAATGTTGATTAAAGAAAAAGGATATATAATGGAGAAATTATGATGCGAAAAAGGATGATTAAATTATTATTTTTAACTTAAATTTACTTTTTAATTTTCTTTTTTATATTAATTTTAATTTTTCTTTTATTTTGATTATGTTTTTCACCTTGTATTAAATTATATTTATTATTATTTAATAAAGGATTCAACTATAATTTTAGTATATGTTTCTTTTTATATTTAGGCTCTGATTCACAATGACAAATCCTTCAATTGTGACCCTACCATGCATCCTTATCTTTGTAGAATTTAAGAAAGCGATAGAGAGCGTCAGGCACGATGTTGGAATATCTTGTGGGAAAGTGGGGACCATAATAAAATAAAAGTTTACAAATATCATTACAATAACTCCACGCCAGGATTCAGCCAGAACAATTAAAATCACCCTTCTTCAGGTTCAAAAGAGGGGTTAAGCAGGGCTGTGTCTCCCTCATCCTCTTCATTATCGTCATAACCAAAATCATAAAAGACACCATAAGTACCATAAATGTTCCAGCAACTTGCAACCTGAGAATCATTTCCTACGCAGATGACCTGGTCCTGATCACCAAATCTAAGGCGAACAATCGACTTCTGACAAGTTTAGGTACCCACTGTAAGTGTGCTGGTTTAGACAAAATTTCAACAAAACCAAGAATATACCAACCCCCGAAGCACAAATAGATGACTTTACCCTTGACTCAAATATGTTAAAGATGGTATTAAATACCTCAGAATTTTGATAGACTAAGGAACGCCAAGATCACATTCAGGGCGAACAATCGTCTTCTGATAAGTTTTGGTACCCACCGTAAATGCGCCGGTTTAGACAAAAATTTCAACAAAACCGTGAATATGCCAACCCCCGAAGCACAAATAAATAACTACCCTTGACTCAAACGTGTTAAAGATGGTAATGATACTTCAGAATTTTGATAGACAAAAGGCAAAACAAATGAAGAAATCGAGGCTAGACTAAGGAATGCCAAGATCACATTTAGCAAATATCATAAGCTATGAACCGCCAGAGATTTCATTTAAGACCAGGCTGCAAATATTCGATTATACAGTTATCCCAATCCTCCTCTATGGCAGCGACACTTGGGACATTAACAAAACCTTAACCAAAATAAATACAGGTGTTTGTAAATAGGTTTCTCCGACAACTCAGTGGGTACTCTATTCCAAACTAATTTTGAAAGCCAAACTGTGGGGGATCTCTAAACACACCCCTGCCCAGTCAACCCTAAAAAAAACAATACAGCATAAGGCATGTGATAAAAAATTACAAAAAAAAATATGATACCCGAAGCACTAACCTGGCTGAGTCTCACAAAGGGAAAACATAAGGCAAATACAAATAGTATTGGCCAAACAATCAATAAGAGACGTCTTGGCTCTAAACTTAAACGTAAAGCAGTTCATAATGCTGAACAATAACAAAAATTCCATTAAATAGCTGCTAAAACTAAAACACAGGTATATAAATTACCAAACCCCTCAAATCATCCCTAAGGCGCCACTTTTCTTCCCCATACATGTGGTAAATACTTTATTTAATTCCTATATATCATATTACCAAGTGGATATAAAATTAAGATAGCCACTACCCCCTCCATAAACAAAACTTTATTTAATTGGGTACAGGCTTGTTTCTACCGGCTTATTCTTCTGCAGGGGTTTAAATAAGATTTGCCTTTTACGCGCAGAGGAAACTGCAGTCTGCCCAAAAATTTGTGAATGGGCTTCTAAAAAAACTTATGAAGATAAAAAAAGAGGAAGTAATATAAAATCCATTAGGAAAATTTATTAACTTTTTATTTTGACTTCCAAAAATAAAATATAAGAATATTTACAATTTCAAATAGTATGAATAATTCAAATTGAATAATAAATTTTACATCATTATTTTTTCTCGTTATTCATGTACAAACAAATAATTTGCTCTAGGCCTATTTCAGATTAAGAATATATCAATTTATAACTGCATTTAGTGCTTCTCTATTTTTCGTTCTGCCAACTTTGGAAATTTTCTTTTTTAATCTATTGTCTATCAAACGAATTGAAGTACGAAACTAAAATGTATACTCTAATTACCATTACATATTAGCTCAAGCTTAATAATTAAAGCTTAAAAATTTTTGGCAAGCTTCATGATAGGCTTGAGAAAATATAACTCGATTCAAAATATAATGAGATTTTAACTATTTTATATATTTATTATATGAACAGAAGAACAAACAATATTTATAAAGTTAGTAAAATTTTAAGATTCAAAAATATTTGGAATTGGGGAAAAGGAGACCTTAATATTTTCGATTTTTCCAATCAATTCAAAATCCGATATTAAGAGGTGGTTAAAGGCGTGACATTGTAATTTTTATTCGCTTACAATTAGGTTCTATTTAGTGACTGGCAAAACTGATTGATGAATTAATAAATATTAGGCATTAAATATTGGCGCAACTTAAATATTCACTACTAGTATAATTTAAGCATGATGCCAAACTTGGTCTTTTTTCTTATTTTGCCAATCAGATTATGTGTTGAATCACTAAAATGTAATAAACACGCAAATTATTGACATAAGTTTTAGTATTTTTAGAAGTTTGGTAGGCTTCGCCTATAATTTGGATCTATGAATTAATAAGTGCTAATTAAAAATTAATTATTAAGGCAACCTAAATATTCAGTACTTCTATAATTTTGGTATGATGTAAATCTTAGTCATTTTTTCTTATATTGCCAATAATGTCTTTTCTATAAACTATTTACTAATTGGCTTGAAGTATTAAAATTCAGGGTTGTGTAGTCAATTGACAGATATTTGACCACTCTAATTGTGTTAAATATAGATGTTTTGTATGACAATATTAACTCTATTTTGTATAAAATAGTAAAAAGAATCTATAATATTAATTTTATAATGTAATAACTAGTGTTCCGCTCTCCATGGCTGAGTCTTGTTCTGATTCATATTCAATATTATCATTTTCTTAAATATTTTTAAATCAATTTTATCGTAAATCTTCAAGCGATTTCTGTTTGTTCTGATTCATATTCAATATTATCATTTTCTTTATTATTTTTAAATCAATTTTATCGTTGTCTAAATCTTCAAGCTATTTCTATTTTAATAAAAATATTAACCGATTTTTTTCTAAATAAGAAGCAAAATGGGAAATGTCAGTAAAATGCCAGTTCTTTTAATGGGCATGGTGAGCAAATGTCTTCAACTAACTTGAAGCCGGAATCTGATTATTTGTTTTAGAAGTTTTACAGCTTTCCACATTTGCTTTATGATATCACTTGAAATATTATGATCATCACCACCTACAAAATGCCTAATTCTTGTACTATATCACATACTTCATTAAATTCACTACTAGTAAGATGATCCACCAGATATTGGAGATCAAATAAATAAATAACATTGTGATAGCATGTATTTATATCATTTTTTTAATTTTCAAGCAATTATTTAAATTTTTATTCTTCCAAGTTTTTAGAGTAAATACTCTTCCAGCAATTGACCGACTTGTTAACCCTACTAAAATGAATAGGCAATAATTATTTATATAATTTTTAGTATTAATGCTTCCAGAAGTTTGGTAGACTTCATGCTTAAAGCTTAACATATTTCCATTTTGCTTATAATACTATTATGGTTGGCCAAACTGATTTAAGAATTAGTCATATATATTAGCGCAAACCAGATATTATAAACCTCTATAATTTTCGGATTTCTAATTTTTAAACCTTTTTTCCACTTAAACCACCTATTAAACGAATTAAAGCAATGAAACTAATTAAGCACTACTTACTGGTTTGGTATAAGTTTCAGAATGAGTGTTTCCAAAAGCTTAGCTCATTCCACGCTAAAAGTATAACATCATAGGTTTCTGTTTATAACTCGGTTTATTATTAGTTTTGGTTGGCAAAATTGAGGATTAAGTACTAATCAGGCACTAGATATTAGTGCAAGTCAGATATTTAGTATCTATATTTTCCATTCTGGTATGATGGCAATTTTTTCTTATTCTTATTTAGTTAACTTTTTGCTTTTAACTACCAAACGAATTAAAATAATTAATAATTAATTGACCAACATTTTGTTGCTAATTAAAAAGAAATTATGGTTGAGTGAGAATGAGTTTACAGCTTTACATGCCCCTTTTAATTTTTATATCTTAAATAATAATTTTTGAGGTTGAATAATGTTATGGCCTTATATTATTATATATCCATTATTATACATAATGTTACAGAACAATAAAGAAAATTAACCAAACTATATTTATAGCTTTATTTATTTTCAAAAAAACCTTATTAAGCTTTAAAAGTACACAGGGTGAACCCTCTGTATAACCGAAATTTGTGGACTTGTCGCATTTGGATGACACTTTTTTGATGTCGACTCGGCATACCTGTTGATCGTTAGATTTTTTCTGTTCATCGCAATTCAAGAATCCTTCCCCTTCTGATTGATCGCTGGTTTCGTAAGCTATAAGTTTTGTAATTCAAAGTGAATTTAAGTTACACGAATTAAATTAGTAAATAGGTTGATAATAAAAAATAATAACGAGATGGGTATTCTAATGAAGTCAGAAGATACGGCAAATCATTTCATATTTAGATATCATCACCTGAGAATTAGATTATTCCATATCAACTTTTTTATGCAGGAGAGCACTTTTAAACATTAAGTTATATTTTCAATATGATGGTATAACCTTGTATTGGCACTAATTTAATTTATTTTAAAATATTTCGGATTTTTTTATGCAAATAGAATAGTATAATATAATAATAAACGATTGATTTATATTTTAAAAAAGTCCTTTTTGATAATAGGGTGGTTATGGAAGAATCTAGTTCTAAGGCGATGATATGCTTTAAAAATTAATAAGAGGGCTCAAAAATTGATAATTACTTTTTTTTAAAAAAGAAAGGAGTTAGTTTTATAAATTCATATATTTTTTTACATGGGTGTCCTCTACTTAATCATGATTATAATAATAGAAATGGATAAAAGTGAAATAGGAGCACTAATTAAATAAATAAAACTACAAGGACCTGAGACGAACTTAATTTTTTTTTAAAAAAACCATGGACAGGCTGGGCCGATTTTTTAGAAATAAATTTAAATTACAAATAATCGGCTGAAAAAATCATATAATTTTAATCGTTTAACATTTATCTGCTGCTCGATTAAAATTAAAAATGCCTGTTTTTAATCCGGGAGCAGGCCTGGGTCCAAAAAATAAATATTTAAAAAAATCTGGGCTGGTTTTAAAAATAGGTTTATTTGCTTAAATCCAGTGTGGACTTAAATTTCTACTTCTGTATGGTCTCCGATACTGTCTATTTATAATATAATAATATAAATTTTTTGAGGGTGTCGGAAAAAAAAATACAATAATCCATTCTGTTTAAATTACCGAAAGCAAAATAATATATTTTTAAATATCGAAAAAATTATCAATTATAAATAATTCAATTCCAATTAGGTTTAAGGCTAAAAGTATTTTTTCGTAAATTTGTTAAGAATTGAAAAATAAAGACAAAATTTATAATAAAAAAATAAATCCTTTTTATTTTCATTATTAAAAATTAGCTTGAGGGAGTTGATTTAATATTTTTCGAATAAGGATTTGATGGTAAAATAATGGTAATTTAGAGTTAATGTGGAATGGAATTCTATAGTTTCTAAGTTGATTTAAAAATAAATATAAGCAAAATAATGGGTTTAAAATTTAAAATAAGTTAATTTATAAGGTTAGAACTTAAATTCAAAACTTAGATTAAAGGTGAAAATAAAGGGGGGGGGGGGTGGTAAATTTCGATTATTTATTTCCATAGGTTTGAAGTAACATATGAATGGAAAGAAGTTTTATATGAAGTCATAAATAATAAAAATATATTGTTTGATTATTTTTCCCCCTGAATGAAAGAAAAGTTTTTATCCAATAATTAAAAAATATCGGTAAGCTAAAAATGGCTACCATTCATACCATAAATTTTACTGTTACGACAAAATAATTGACTCAAACCAAAAAAAATCGAACTAATTAAGCAATATCGAGATTAAAAAAAGAATTCATCCGAAATGGGAATAAAAATTGTATATCTTTTTAAAGCATTTTTTTATATATTAAAAAACAATCCTTTAGATCAGATCCAATTAATTTTAAACATGATTTTCTCATTTTAAATAGTAGTTTAAGTATATAAATATATAATTTAGAAGACCATCATAAAGGTAATCAAAAATAAAATAAATATAATTTTATTTATATATTTATTTACCAATATTGGTAATTACTTCTTTTTTTAGAAATTAGAATCGCTGACTCAAACATTATGATGAATTAAATATAAGAATATTAACGTTTATCGATTGAATAAAGAAAAAAAATATTTTAATAAATAATTGGGGACATTTTCCATTATTTTATAAAAATATTACAAACTTAAAAGATATTTGTTCAAGTCATCTACATAGGGAGCGTAGGTAGAGGGCTTCATGGGATTGAAATATATCAAATTTTTTTCGACATCCACGTGAGGTCTATAACCCAAACCTATTGAACATTTATGTTTATTAAAAAAAGTTTTATACGCATCTTTAGAGATATAATGATTTTTTTACAATTTAACAATATTCTATGGGACAAAAATTCTGAAAAAAAAGAAATATTAGCATAGTAAGAAAAAGATTATAGATTTGGTGATTGTATGCCATTGTTTCGGCTTGGCGACTGGTTTGCAAATTGATAAATTTATTAGAAAGACCATTTATAAAATTAAAAATGACAATTATTTATAAGACATATGATCAAGCCGACGGCATCACTAAATGCGGTAAGTAAAAAAAATATATAAGTACCAACATAATACATCGTCGGCTGAGTATTGTATTTTCTATATCCACATTTCTTCAAACTGCATATTTTTCGATATAAATCAATTATTAAAAAAATCAACAATAAAAATATTAAAATAATTTCGAAATCCTTTATTTGCATTTTATAGTGTTATCTAGTATTTTAAAATACAAGAAATATTTTTTTTTAAACTCTCCTAAAAAATTTTTGATATAGAACATTATAATATTCAACCGACGATTTATGTTATTATTTTATTTTTACTAAATAGTCAAATATTATCGTTAAATTTTAATTATAATTCTATTACATTTGAATAAAATATTGTAAATTTTTTTCAATAACAGGATGGAGTTAGAATCCCCCTGAAATCATCGCCAATAAGGTAAATGAAGAAATTAAGTATCGATTGATAAAAAAAAAGTAAAATGATAGTCTTCTTTAAAAAAAAATGGTGTTTATCATCGATATATAAATTGATTTTTTTAAAAAAATATTGATATAACCTGGATTGGTTCCTATAATACTACCGGAAAGTGTGTATCTGGGTTTGTATAAATTTAGAGTCCTTAGAAAGATGTACATCATGATTGCAAAAAACCCAGCCAGAAACGAGTAAAAGATTATGTAAGCTCCTGTTATCTTAGCTATAGATATATAAAAAAACAGATAATATTATATTTAATTAACATTTTTATCGATTGACTAATAAAATATTATTTCTTCTTAAAGTCATCAAGAAAAGACCTAGCAGTCATTGTTTTACCAGCCACCAATAAATAAAATTTCATGGAAAGTTGTGACGGAATGTGCTCATTCATGTTAACTTGTAAAAAATATTTTTTTAATAATATTCTATATTCTATTCGAGGCATTACAATTGTCAAGGTTTGGATTTTTTTTATCAGAACTTCATTATTTTATTACTTTTAATCAAACATATACATAGAAAATAGAATCTTAGCCGTTTTTAATTTAAAATTGCAATTTATTTATAAAAGAAAATCAAAATTAAAAGTCATAAACATCCTGTTATAAGCTGCAATAAAACAAAATTTTATTGGCAATATTTAAAATAATGTTCTAGCATTTTGTGGTGCTTCATTGAAATAGCTTTATAAGTGAATCTACTTAGTTTCAATATGATACCATAATTAAGTGGTACTTATCTCAACCTATAATAAAATCAATTGATATTACAAATTGAAATCGTATTAAAATTAAGTATTTTTAATGGTGTGCCCGTAAAGATTACTTTAAAAAACAGCTTCCAGTATTTTAAAAGATGTTGAGAACCTTTTTTTATTCACAAGAAAAAAGATAATGGTTTAAAATTTTCTATAAAAAATGTCAATAAATCGATTTTGAGAAATCAATATTTGCTGAAAAATACAAATAAAACTAGCAAAAAAACTAGTCAAGGTTAAATCATATTTAAATATCATTAAAAAAACAAAAATTCTGATTTTAAAAGTTCATTTAAGTTTGGTGATAACCTATTAACTCATCAAGCCACATCTGAGATAAAAGTATATAGAAATTAGGAATAAAAGTTCAAATTATCATCTTCAATGATTATATTTTTTACTGAAGCTAATAAAATTGGTCATGCCTTAGTGTTCTATAGTGAGAAATTAAGCGTTAGTCATAAAAAATCATTAAAACTATAAATATAGACATCATAGTCATAAATTATGCAGGGTAGTTTTAAATATATATTATATTATATACCTATTAAATTAAAAATATAGAAATTATTACAACTAGTAAGCAGGAAAAAAAATTTTTATGTGCAAACCTTTTAAAAATAACCAAATTTTTGGAAAAATTTTGCAACCCTATATTTTTGGCTTTAACATTGTGCGTTCGATTTGAACGCTAGACCGTTCTGGTATTGCCTTAGCCTGAGTTTTTATACGCTCAATTTTTTGATAATTTTATTAACTCTATAAATTTAGGGAGATAATTAAGAAAACACGGTAAAAAAATTAAAATTCGGCATGAATTGACTGAGCTTTGTGTTTCGATTTTATAAATAGTTGAATATTTTATTATTTGAATAATGTTTGGAATTTAGATTTCTAATTTCCAAATATTATTCCTATCGAATATTAATAATTATTCGATTCGTTAATGATATAAATTTTTAACAAATTATAACAATATTAATTTTTTAAAATTTAATCCTATTCTTTTCTTTAACTCATTTTGGTCTGTAGTTACGATATCGAATTAACTTCTTTTGATATGAAATATTTTCTATTTAATATTTAATTTAATTTTTGCTTCTTGATGACTGGTCCTTTTTACATGTTTATTAGGTGTTATATTTTATTATAATTTTCAATAAAAATTCCTATTTGTATTAAGTCCATCTTGTTAAAAAAAATGAGTAAAAACAGGAACATCAAATATTTTTGAATTTAATTTTTATTAATATTGTTTCGATATTATTCAATTCTTTTATTTGGATATCATAAGCAGTTTTTGTTTTCATATTCATTGTCTTAAAATAATTACTTTTCATGTTTCGAAATTGGAACATGAGGCCAAGAACCTCCAACTCGATGAGATGAAGTAGAGGTTTGCAATAGGCGGATATTAGCTAATAAGCCCGCCTTTGAAAATATTTTCAACCCGTCCGCCCATGTGTAATTTTTTTTTAAAATTTCACCGCCCGCTCTTTATATATAAATTTTATCTAACCGACCCGCCTGTCTAATGTTTAAATATTTTTATTTTAATAATTTGAAGTCTATTCTGTTCATTTCGCCTGAAGAAAAATATTAAAAATTAACCCGCCCACGCCCGCCTATTACTTTAAAAAATTTATTAACCCGCTCGTCCTCGCCAATAATGAAAATATTTTGAAAAACCAAACCATACCCGTTCAAAGTATGGGTGAGCATGGACGACGGGCTAAAAACCCACCATTGCTGACCTCGAAGTAGCGTATTTGTCAAAATTTTGCATTATTTCTAAAAATTAGTATTTTAAATATTATATTTAATAAAATATGAGGGTTAATTATCAATTTCAAATATTAGCTACTGGTATATTTATAATTGAAAGTATGTATAAGTATCAGTGCAACTCTAATAAAAATAGTTACCATTTATAAATTATGCCATTATGAGAAATAAACTCTAAATTATATTTAATTATTATTTTTTATTCTTATTTAATCATTTATTTTAAAACTCCTTCTGTTATATAAATTCATTCATTCATTACCATGCCATAAATTGCACGAAGTGCAATTTCATCACCAACCATATTTTATTAATTCTTACATTTTGCTAAGAATTGTAGCACTTAAAGAAAAATGTTAAATCAAATAAAAATTTTAAATCAATAATATATTTTGATTTGTTTTACTTTAATATGTGTTGTAGTATATAAAATAATATACTATTGTAGTATCAATTAGTGGTGGGTAAAAATTCAGCTATTGTTTAAAGTATCAGAGTATCTATAACAAATATTAGATCTAATTCAAATATTCACTTGAATCTCTTTGAAAAAGAATTCAACCATATAATTTAAATTTAGACCTGCGCTTACAAGAAACTAGAGTTAGAAGAAAAAAATAAAAATATTTTGCCCAAATATATATTAAAAAATATGGAAATATTTTCCATCGGCACTACACTGTGAATTGAAGATTTTTTTATAATAAAAATTTTTCATCATTTTTTTTAGGCATAAAAATCATAAAAGATTTAATATAAAAACGATTTGGAATTTTGGTTATAATTTGATTAAAACTTTCATATTCAAAAAAAATTTTCTTTCAAAAGATAATTTCTAACTTTTTTTTAATTGTTTTATGTTATGTAAATTTATTTAACATTATTACAATATTTTCTAAATAATTTTTTTTAAACAATGCAAATGCACAACACTCTCTAAATTTTATTTCTTTTTTTAAATAGATTTATAGTATTTTAAAAAATTTTTTTATAAAAATAGAAAGGAACACCCAACGTTTTATTTATTTTAAATCTTTTTAAATAATAACGCCAATTTTATTATTTATATTTTATATAAAAATAATTTTTAAATATGGTATCTGAATTATGAAAATATTTTACAAAAGACAAAGATAATTTTGCAAAATGCGTTATCTGTGGTATCATCTGAGTCTGCCTTCAGTACGGCAGGGGATATAGATAGTCCATATCGTAGAAGCTTATTGCCAGAAAATCTAGAGGCTCTCATATTTATTATAAAAATCTAATATATTTTAATTTTATATATTAAATATTACAATTTTAAATTCATACCAACATAAAATGGATATATTATTAAATATATTTTTTTTAATTAGTCTTAATTGTAGAAATAAAAAATTAAATTAAATGCATAATTCGATTTTTTGCATAAAAAATATTGACTTCTTAATTTACATTTGGTTCAAAAGGGGGTGGTAAAAAACAGTATAAATATCGGTATCGGATTGGGTTTGAAGCAATATCGCGGATCGATGAATAATATGTGGATCGGCACAGCCCTAAAGATAAGGATATAAAATGAATAAGGAAAATCATAATATTTTCAAATGTATATAAATATTAATAGGGTTGGCAAAATTTAATATTTCAATGTTGGTAAAAACAGTCAGGAAATTACTGAAAAAAATATATATACCTACTGATAAGTCACGAGTAGGGCTGCCAGGCTCCCCCCCCCCCATCAGTGGGAGATTCCCGCAATTTTTTAGTTTATGCACAGACACCCCTCTCTCATAAAACTCCTGCAATAAAAAATCTACAAAATCCCACAATTTTAAATTTTAAGCATTTTAACATGTCCAGTTTATCAATTCTTCTTTATATGTTTTAATCAATCATAACATCATAATAACCATCTCCTAAATTTTTTTCGAATTATGAAGAAAAAATATTAATTAATTCATGTTTCAACAAATATCATATGCACCATATATGATTGGAATGGTGTGAGTTAATATGATCCCTATAAGATGATTATCACTCCCGCCATTGATAGAATTTTAAAATAGAACCACTAAGATATTCTTAAATGAAAAATATATTAGCTGACCAAATAATATGAAAGAATTTTTTGCAAATGAATTGGCAGAAACATATTTAGCCATGTTTTACATTTAGGAAATCTATATGGGTTAATATACAATTGCAATCAGAAGAATCTTTAGATTCACAAAATTATGTAGTTTATTGATCTTTACAGCTAAAAATTGACAATATTTTTGTTGAAAATGTCATTTTCAATTGTTTAAATGTTGTCATAATTAATGGTTTTTTAAATGAAAAACGATTTTAGAAGCAATCAAAATTTAGTTTTAATAATTCTATTTACTAATGTATAAATATTATGACCTTGGAATAAAAACCAACAATTGATGGATTTTGTAATTTGATAAATAATTAAAACACCAATTGATATTAATCTTGTTTAAGGTAATTGTTATACTTTATATTTTTTATAATTCTTCAGAATACTCCTAAAGAAATGGTTTAAAAGCAGGGGGGGGGGGCGTTTACTATTTCTCCAGCAATTTTGACATTTCTAATGCAAAATAAAAAAATTTACCAAATTTCTCCTGTAATTTGAAAAATTTGACCTGGCAACCCTGGTCTGTCAGATGAAAAGTCAAGTAATCAAAAATTCAATATTTGCAAACTGTATAAAATTTAACTAGTCATTATCTGAGTTGGAAAGAAAATCATTCCTTTTATAAAACGAATACTATTATGAATATTCTCAAATAAAACTGTTAACTAAATTTTAAATTTCATTTTTCGACTACTAAAATAATGGTGGTTTTATTATTTTTAATTTTAGCTTCTGTTATTTCCCAAATGGGTGCCAATTGTTTAGTATGTCCTATTAACATTTTAAAAACTCTCTCTCCTTCTGATAGTGTAGTTTTTAAATTATGATAAATATGATTTAATTAACCTTTTTGCTGAGGATAAATCAACAGTTTAAATAAAATTTTACAAAAAAATAGATTGAAATATTTGGTTATTTGACAAAATTAAAGGTTTAATTATATCTAAATTATTCTAGCTCATTTAATTATTATTATATAGTAATATTTATTACCCACAATCCTAAAAATCAACATTATTATACTTTCAATCATGGTAAAATAGAAAACTACATCTGATTTGTTTAATAAAATTAGGTATTCAGATAATGAATAAATGAATGAACCAGATCATTTAAATTCCAAACTTAGGAATTGTTTAGGAAAACTAGTTTTCTTTAAAACAATTAAATTCCAATGCCAAGTACATGATAATGCACTGTCAAAGTTAGGCATAAAAAATCGATCTTTTAATTTTAACATCTATTTTGGAAGATATAAAGATAATCTTATAAAATTTAAAATAACAAAAATATTGTTTTTTAAATTGTATTGTATTTATTATTATTATAATGATAAATATTTAATGGTAAATGCTAAATATAGTAAAATAAATTTAAAAAAAATGATGTTTCTGTTATTTTAACTATATTTTATGTCTTTATTTTTCTAGACTATAAACCTGAACAGGGTTCAGAGATATTTCACTGAGCTAGAGCTCTTTTTTTAGAAGCAAGGTTCATAGCACTGAATTTAACAAGCTAATTCTTTTTAGAATATTAAATAATTTCTCATCAAATTAAGAATAGAATTATATTTAAGAATTAATATGTCAAAAATTGAAACAATAAAATACAAGAAGATTTAATTCTAAAATAATCTGTCTTTTTCCTTCCTTATATTAAGTATTTTTATCAAATTTAGAAAATATAATTTTATTAAAATTATTAATTTCGCTAATAAATTAAATTGATTTTTATTGGCTAATTCTAATATTAATTAATCTTGAGGTTTGAAATCAAATCTATATAAAAAATCAAATAAACTAAAATAAAAACAATATCTTTAGTTTATATAAGGTAAATTTATAAAACCAATTTATTTTGGCTTCATAGATCAATTTTTTGATATCTTAAGAAATAATTTAATAAAAAAAAATTATTCACAAATTTTTGCTAACAGGTTAAGGAAATTTAATTATGTCTGAAAAACATTTATTTTAAAATAAATATAAATGCTCAAGGCAAAATAAAAATTGATTAAAAAATATTTTATCTTCATTAGAAAAAAGAAATCAAATTAATGAAGTAAATGTATATATGCAATTAAAGATAACAAGCCTGTGTAAATATTTTTTATTTTCAAATTTTATTATACATATATATTAAGTTTAATAATTTAAAGAAATAATGTATACTAGAGATTTATTAAATACATATAAGCTTTTTTAAAATTGATATTATAATTTTAAATTTTTTTTAGTGATTATTAGTAATGCTGATAGCCACTTAGAAAATTTGTTTTCATAAATATCATTCAAAGCCTTCAGAAATTTGTCTGTTTTCATAATCATCATTCAAAACTAATATAACCCCCTCCCCACACACACTATCTTCTCCGACTCTTGTACAAAATTTTTTTATAGATTATATCACTATTTTTAAGAAGTAAATTTAAAATTTCAGAAAAAAAAACATTTTAATAATAAATGGACCCAACATTTGTTTTTCAGAGTAATCCAGTTAAAGGCTTGTAATTAGTAGGCCTAAAGCGTTCCAACAAGATTAACCCACCCCCTTCCCTTATATGGCTCATTGTTAAATAATTTAAATCCAAAATTATAATTTAATATAATTACCCCAGCTAGCTGCTGTCCGCCCTAAGAATTCTCTTCTGTCAGGATTCCATATGGCACGAGATATTTTTTCCCACTTGGTCCTTTCTTTTTTTGTCTCATAATAATCTTTATTATGAGATGACATAATATAATAAGTAAAAAAATAAAAAAAATTGAAGGGCGGTCTTCCGAAATTAATTTATATATGACTTTTAAGCAACGGATTGAACAGATATTTTTATTTTTGAGTTAAATATTACTATTATAAAATATTAAAATTTTAATTTATAGACTTTTATTAACATATTATAAATGCTAAACATGCAACATATATGTCGTTTTATTCTTTTGGAATTTATTTAATTTAAATTGGCATTAGGTTGAAAATAATTGTATTCAATTGGGTTGAATATATAAAACTGCTATTATTTAACAATAATATTTAACGCGTAGGTGTAGCCGATTGCTAGGGGGACTTCACTGGGTAGGTTTTTCCCAATATTGGAGGTCTTTAGTTCTTCTTATTGTATCCCTTTGGCTATATTAGTTTTTTATGTAAATAATTTTAAATTTGTATTTTCTTTTTTTTTATAAAATTAAATATGTTTTTTCTAAAAATTTCGTATTACAGACATTATTTTTAAAAGTTATTCCTTACTCATTTTTCTTGCTAATTCTCTTTTATATTGCATATATTTTTTGGATGAAGGCAGTGGGGGGGGGGGGGGGGGAGAGATATTCGTTTAAAATGATATTTAGGAGAACAGACAAATTTCAGAAGAAAAAAGAAAATTTTCTATTCCTGCCCCCCTCTCCAACCTACTATGCCTCTGACTAAGATATTATAATAATATTTCCAAAAATGATCATAGTTTTAACCTTTATAATATCCTGGTGTGGTAATTAATTTCATAGCAAAAACTTTTCAACCCCTTACCTCTTAATGACGATATTATCCCTTAACAAATGTAAATTTGAAATAGGGAATATTTTACATTCATTTGTTTCCTCCCAGTTTATTCAAATAATGATGCCTTGTTTTAACTTTTTAACCCTCTTCAATTTAAATGTCTCTCCACCCCCTACCCTCCCGTATGTCTGGCATAAGTAATCTAGGTAAAAGATTAATTTAGTAGTCATTGACAAAGCGTATATTGTATGATTAGGTGATTTTTTTTAGATGAATTATAATATATTAAGACATTGATTAAGACATGTAAATTCGAAAGATTCATCCTTGTCTTTGAGTAAAGTGTCTGGTTTATTTTTTTTAGATTGAATGAATGCTAGATTAGAAAATTAATTTCAATTAATTTTATTCTGTTTTTATAATAAGCATATATATTTTTTTAAAGGATCAAAATCCTCATTCTTCTTTTGCAGTTGGTGGACAAAGGTTAGGGTTAAAGGTTTTAATTTCTTTTAGCAAACTTTGTAAAGTTTCTATTGGTCTTCCTTTGCGTTTATCAATTAATTCTCATAAAAAATTTTGACTAAAGAATATTTTTGAAAAATATTCATTAACTCAAATCATTATTGTAGCAATGTTTACAATTTTATGTTGAAATATTAGATTATCTTTAAATTGTTTATTTTTATTTTTATTTGTATGATTTATTTTTATATAACAAGAAATGGTTAATTTTATTTATATATAATTTACTTTCACATTAACACTTTTACTTATAATATTTTTAGAATAAATTTTATTTTATTACAACCAGTGCTTAATCATTATACCTGAGTTAAAATACTTACTAAATATATTTAATTTTGGTCTAATCGAACCCAAACTAATCCCTTCATTTATAAAATTATAATTGTTTTAAAAATATCAAAATTTTTATTTCTTCTTTTATTTGTTTAAAAAAAAGTATTTTTTATATTTACTTCCCTCGCTTATTTATTCATATATAAAATTATAACAAATTCCATAACAATGATTTTCTCTTTATTTATTAAAAAATATAAAATTTTATATTTGATTCTACAATATTCATTATTTTAAGGTCATAAAAAATTATATCAGAAATATTTATAATATTGGCATAATTTTTTTCTTCATTTATTTATTAAAAAAGAAGCAACTTTAATTTGTTATCCGTGTATATTTTTTTTAAAAATATTGTAAAAAATATCAACGTAACAAAATAGTTTATAACTGTTTTTTTAATATGGTATAGTTTTAATTTTTAATTATATAACTTTTATTTAATTGACCAGACGTTAGGCGTCAAGTTTAGTCTAGGGAAGCAATCATAGGCGAAGCCAAGATTTTCTTAAAGTGGGAGGGGGGCGGGGATTCGGCCTGCTTTTGACTGACTTTCGGCCGGGTTTTCTTAGTTTATATATATATACTCATAAAATATTTTTGCAAGATAGAATGTTAATTTTAATAAATATTATCTTTGTTTAAAATATAAGAAATTGATTAAGAAGTAAGTAGACATATAGTTGATATTTCTCTATTATATAGAATTGTTTACAAAATATTAGGCAAAATGCCACTTTTACAGACATATTTGACAGTTATAGAATATATTACAATTGATATTTTAATAAATTTTACTAATAAATGCTTTTGATAATATAAGTAACAATTTGCATTCAATTCTTTAACGCCATCTAGTTATTTAAAAATATTATTAAAAAATATCTTATTATTCATCTCACAATGGATGTACATTATTAGATATTAACGCTAATGAAATATAGAATTATTTATTTCATTTACATTTTCATTTACATTCTTTAAAAGATACTTTCTGATGTCCTTATCAATATTCTATAGTCTTCTGTAAAATATATAATTCCCTATTGGTAAAGATTATTTGATTGTATTAAGATATTAAATAAAATAGATATACTATAAATCTACGACACATAATATTCCACTGTTTGTATTGTGCGTTAATTTTTACTTAATTTATAGTTTAATTTTAACAATAATTTTATAATTATATTTTATTTTATTAAGAAAAATAAGTTAAAGTTACTCCCTTTATAAAAAATTATATTTGAGATATTATATTATTTACTAATTATATCTAGTAATAATAATTATAACCCATTTCACTTTTGTCTTAAGACTTATCTTTGGCTTATATTTCATTTCCTAAAAAACATGTTTGGTTTCATTTTATATAAATTGCTTTTTTCCAAAAAATTATTAATTATAATCAATAGTTTTAGTTTAAAAAATATTAACTTTTCATTCTTTCTTTCGAATTATTGTTTAAGGTATATGCATACATTTTTAGGGGACAGGAGGTGGGGAGAGTACTAAGGAGGATATTTTTATTAGCTTAAAATGATATACACAAAAAGTGATAAATTTCTGAAGGGGGAGAGGGAATTTTCCTTTGCCCCCCTCCCTGGCTACGACTATGGAAGCAATTGATAAACATTCTTTATTTTTATTAGTCAAAATATAAACATTTAAGATTTTTAAATATAAACGGATTTATCTTTGTTTTTGAGTAAAATTTGATTTATTGCATATCAAATCTATCATATTGTCAATTCTCGACTGCAAATGTATGGTAGATTCTTCATGCCGTTTAACTGCATTCAAAAAATTATTCATATAAAAAAATCCTTTATCATTCCAAACTTATTTTTCAATTGGGAATGATAGGCATGACCAACAATGTAGAGAATTAGAAAATCACATCCAATGAGCCACTCATATTTTTTATATTTATAGCTGGAATTAATATGTAAGTTTGAATTTATTTTTTCAAGTTTTGTAAAATTGATCTTGGAATTCCTTTTAAAATAATCAATATCTTCATATCATAATTTCTTTAGCTAAATGATATTTTTAATAGATTTTTAGCTATTTGAGATTCTAAAGTAATTATTGTTTTTAAAAAGGACGACATTTTTTTATTTAAAGAAAGAAAAGATAAAAAAAAATTTTCTATAAAATACATTTGCAGGATTTACTCTTTATTTATTTTAAAAAAATAATCAATATTATAATTGCTACCCACTTGTTTATATTTAACGTAGTAAAAATAATGTATTTTTTTTTGAAGGTAGTAAAATAATAACGTAGTAAAAATACTATTCTTTTTAACGTAGTAACCATGTATTATTTATTTATTTTTATTTTTTAAGAGAAATTACAAGAGAAGCAATGCTTTCCTTGTTTCTATGGGTGCTTCCTCATTGTAATTAAGAGTTTACACTTTTAATTAGTTCAAATGATGACCCAGATTTATTATATAAATTCCACAAATGTTGCCATTTTGACATGACCATGTTAAATGCTTTCTTGTAATCATCATTTTCTAAAAAAATCTTTTGAATCCTGTGTCACTAAGTTTAATGTATGGTAAGAACATGTTCTGTTCCTTGGAAGGTAGTCAAAGTTATTTAAACCATAATTAGCTAACCCAAAAAAAGCATCTGGAGTGCAAACAAAATTTGGCTCAAATAATAATTATCTAAAATATATTTCATTTGAATAATATGTAGGTCCGTGAAGTTGGCGGAACGATGTGAAGATCAATTAGCAAAACCTATGCCAATATTTAGAGTCTTAATTGATCCTAATTGATCTTCAAACCAAACATCAGCGGAATCAATGGTTAATGAGTTATAAGCAAAATAAGGCAAGTGTGAAATTTAAAGCTGGCGGAACGATTTGAGGATCAATTACCGAAATCTATACCATTGTGTAGCCCGTTAATTTATCCTAATTGATCTTCTATCCGGAAAGCAGCGGAATAAACCGTTCGTGTGTTATAGGCAAAATAGAAAAGTTTGGGCATTTTGCCAATATTTAAAATTCGAGCAATTATTTTTTAGTTAAAACGTGCCTTAATTGATCCTCCAAATTTGTCAAACAGAATGTCAAAAAAATTAAAGGAAAGTGAGATACCAATAAAATAAGGAAAGTGTGAATTTTGATTTGGCGGAACGACTTGAGGATCAATTATCGAAACCTATACCATTGTGTAGTCCGTTAATTGATCCTGATTGATCTTCTATCCGGAAAACAGCGGAATGAACCGTTACTGAGTAAAGAGCAAAATAAGAAAGTGTTGGCACTTTGCCAAAACCGAAAATAAAAATGTTCATGTTCTGATACTTGGGAATTATGTAGTATTCAATATGTAAGTTATAATCTCCAAACCGCATATCCGTATCATTAGCGGTAACAGAGTTATAACGGTTTTAAAAACGTAAAGTTAGCGGAATTTTTTTTA